CTGGAGACCTTCATAAACACATATTTAGCTTCACTAGAGGAGTAGGTACTGCCAACTGTATAGCAACATTACTAGGAACAGTTAACTCAGGTCCAGCTATAGTGATCTTCCTTGATCTAGAAAAAGCATTCGAACTTGCAAGCCCGCAAGCAACTTTACACACCTTAGTTAAACAAGGTGTAAAGGGAAATATGCTAGGATGGATTCAAGATTACCTAAGTCACAGGTATGCCAGAGTAAAGTTGCCAGGACATGTGTCGGACTACCACTTGCATGAGAATGGGACTCCACAAGGAGGAGTCCTCAGTCCTAGTCTTTTTAACATCCTTATGGAAAACCTCGTTACCATGACATTTGCAGAAAGGGTTAAATTGCTAAGCTATGCTGATGATATAGCATCAGTCATTACAAGTACTTCACATCTAAATAAAGCACAAGGTGCATTAGATAAAGTGACATCTGAATGCAGCGTTTTAGGGCTAAAAATATCTGCACAGAAGTCTAAGGCAATGAGACCAGGTGGCAACACTCCAGACAGGCACCTACGCATTCAAGACATTAACCTTCAGTGGGTTACACAATATCAATATCTCGGAGTGTGGATAGATTTTAAAATGACATTCAACAAGCAAATTCAATATCTAAAGGAGAAAACAAAATCACGACTAAATATAATGAGAGCAATCACAGGGCCCCGTCTAGGAGCGGGACACAAAGTGTTAAGAATGTTTTACATACACGCCGTTCGTTCCCTGGTTGATTATGCAGCGCCTGCCTTACTCACTCTTTCTCCTGGCAGTGGGGAAACTTTGAGGTTATTCAAATGATGCATTGCGAGTCATAACAGGAGCTCCCAGATGGACTAAAATACTGAACCAAAGGCTAGAAACCATGCTAACATCGCTTGAAATAAGGGTAATGGATTGCAGTATGCATGCTGGACACACCTGGTGATGGACACACCTGGTGGTGGAGACACCTGGTGGTGGACACACCTGGTGGTGGACACACCTGGTGGTGGACACACCTGGTAGTAGACACACCTGGTGGTGGACACACCTGGTGGTGGACACACCTGGTAGTAGACACACCTGGTGGTGGACACACCTGGTGGTGGACACACCTGGTGGTGGACACACCTGGTAGTAGACACACCTGGTGGTGGACACACCTGGTGGTGGACACACCTGGTAGTAGACACACCTGGTGGTGGACACACCTGGTGGTGGACACACCTGGTAGTAGACACACCTGGTGGTGGACACACCTGGTGGTGGACACACCTGGTGGTGGACACACCTGGTAGTAGACACACCTGGTGGTGGACACACCTGGTGGTGGACATACCTGGTAGTAGACATACCTGGTGGTGGACACACCTGGTGGTGGACACATCTGGTGGTGGACACACCTGGTAGTAGACACACCTGGTGCTGGACACACCTGGTGATGGACACACCTGGTGGTGGACACACCTGGTGGTGGACACACCTGGTGGTAGACACACCTGGTGGTGGACACACCTGGTGGTGGACACACCTGGTGGTGGACACACCTGGTGGTGGACACACCTGGTGGTGGAGACACCTGGTGGTGGACACACCTGGTGGTGGACACACCTGGTGGTGGACACACCTGGTAGTAGACACACCTGGTGGTGGACACACCTGGTGGTGGACACACCTGGTAGTAGACACACCTGGTGGTGGACACACCTGGTGGTGGACACACCTGGTGGTGGACACACCTGGTAGTAGACACACCTGGTGGTGGACACACCTGGTGGTGGACACACCTGGTCGTAGACACACCTGGTGGTGGACACACCTGGTGGTGGACACACCTGGTAGTAGACACACCTGGTGGTGGACACACCTGGTGGTGGACACACCTGGTGGTGGACACACCTGGTAGTAGACACACCTGGTGGTGGACACACCTGGTGGTGGACATACCTGGTAGTAGACACACCTGGTGGTGGACACACCTGGTGGTGGACACACCTGGTGGTGGACACACCTGGTGGTAGACACACCTGGTGGTGGACACACCTGGTGGTGGACACACCTGGTGGTGGACACACCTGGTGGTGGACACACCTGGTGGTGGACACACCTGGTGGTGGACACATCTGGTGGTGGACACACCTGGTGGTGGTCACACCTGGTGGTGGACACACCTGGTGGTGGACACATCTGGTGGTGGACACACCTGGTGGTGGACACACCTGGTGGTGGACACACCTGGTGGTGGACACACCTGGTGGTGGACACATCTGGTGGTGGACACACCTGGTGGTGGACACACCTGGTGGTGGACACATCTGGTGGTGGACACACCTGGTGGTGGACACACCTGGTGGTGGACACACCTGGTGGTGGACACACCTGGTGGTAGACACACCTGGTGGTGGACACACCTGGTGGTGGACACACCTGGTGGTGGACACACCTGGTGGTGGACACACCTGGTGGTGGACACACCTGGTGGTGGACACACCTGGTGGTGGACACACCTGGTGGTGGACACACCTGGTGGTGGACACACACCTGGTGGTGGACACACCTGGTGGTGGACACACCTGGTGGTGGACACACCTGGTGGTGGACACACCTGGTGGTGGACACACCTGGTGGTGGACACACCTGGTGGTGGACACACCGGGAACACGACACTGACCACGGCAGGGAACACGACAGGGACCACGACAGGGAACACGACAGGGACCACGACTGGGACCACGACTGGGACCACGACAGGGAACACGACAGGGACCACGACTGGGACCACGACAGGGAACACGACAGGGACCACGACTGGGACCACGACAGGGAACACGACAGGGACCACGACTGGGACCACGACTGGGACCACGACAGGGAACACGACAGGGACCACGACTGGGACCACGACAGGGACCACGACAGGGAACACGACAGGGACCACGACTGGGACCACGACTGGGACCACGACAGGGAACACGACAGGGACCACGACTGGGACCACGACAGGGAACACGACAGGGACCACGACTGGGACCACGACAGGGACCACGACTGGGACCACGACTGGGACCACGACAGGGAACACGACACTGACCACGACAGGGAACACGACAGGGAACACGACAGGGAACACGACAGGGACCACGACAGGGAACACGACAGGGAACACGACAGGGACCACGACTGGAACCACGACAGGGACCACGACAGGGAACACGACAGGGAACACGACAGGGACCACGACAGGGAACACGACAGGGAACACGACAGGGACCACGACTGGGACCACGACAGGGACCACGACAGGGAACACGACAGGGAACACGACAGGGAACACGACAGGGAACATGACAGGGAACACGACAGGGACCACGACTGGGACCACGACTGGGACCACGACAGGGACCACGACTGGGACCACGACAGGGAACACGACAGGGACCACGACTGGGACCACGACTGGCACCACGACAGGGACCACGACAGGGAACACGACAGGGAACACGACTGGCACCACGACTGGGACCACGACTGGGACCACGACAGGGACCACGACAGGGAACACGACAGGGAACACGACTGGGACCACGACTGGGATTTGAATATTTTCATATCTAATTTAAGTTAATATATATAAACATTATTGGTGTATCCTAGATGCCAGAATATAATTTAAGTACACGTCCATTTACAGGACCCAACAATCATCATGATAAGGTCACTGCTACTCAACACTCATCATCACGACGTCACTGTTACTCAACAATCATCATGACGTCACTTCTACTCAACACTCATCATCACGACGTCACTGTTACTCAACAATCATCATGACGTCACTGTTACTCAACAATCATCATCATAACGTCACTGTTACTCAACAATCATCATCACGACGTCACTGCTACTCAACAATCATCATGACGTCACTGTTACTCAACAATCATCATCACGACGTCACTGTTACTCAACAATCATCATCATGACGTCACTGTTACTCAAAAATCATCATGACGTCACTGCTACTCAACAATCATCATCATGACGTCACTGTTACTCAACAATCACCATGACGTCACTGTTACTCAACAATCATCATCACGACGTCACTGTTACTCAACAATCATCATCAAAACGTCACTGTTACTCAACAATCATCATAACGTCACTGCTACTCAACAATCATCATCATGACGTCACTGCTACTCAACAATCATCATCATGATATCACTGTTACTCAACAATCATCATCATGACGTCACTGCTACTCAACAATCATCATGACGTCACTGTTACTCAACAATCATCATGACGTCACTGCTACTCAACAATCATCATGACGTCACTGCTACTCAACAATCATCATCATGACGTCACTGTTACTCAACAATCATCATGACGTCACTGCTACTCAACAATCATCATCATGACGTCACTGTTACTCAACAATCATCATGACGTCACTGCTACTCAACAATCATCATGACGTCACTGCTACTCAACAATCATCATCATGACGTCACTGTTACTCAACAATCATCATGACGTCACTGCTACTCAACAATCATCATGACGTCACTGCTACTCATCAATCATCATCATGACGTCACTGTTACTCAACAATCATAATGACGTCACTGCTACTCAACAATCATCATCATGACGTCACTGTTACTCAACAATCATCATGACGTCACTGCTACTCAACAATCATCATGACGTCACTGCTACTCAACAATCATCATCATGACGTCACTGTTACTCAACAATCATCATGACGTCACTGCTACTCAACAATCATCATCATGACGTCACTGTTACTCAACAATCATCATGACGTCACTGCTACTCAACAATCATCATCATGACGTCACTGTTACTCAACAATCATCATGACGTCACTTCTACTCAACACTCATCTGTTTTCTGGTGAAAATTTGAAACAAATTAATTTCTTTATTCTAAATAACTTAACAAAAACTTTATTTTTTTCAGAGCACAGCTACGACGGTGACAGTGATGACGGCGGTGGATGTGGTGAGTAGACAACCTCACGTCCCACCCTAGTGCTCCACGTCCCACCCTGGTGCTCCACGTCCCACCCTAGTGCTCCTCGTCCCACCCTCGTGCTCTAGGTCCCACCCAGGTGCTCCACGTCCCACCCTGGTGCTCCACGTCCCACCCTGGCGCCCCACGTCCCACCCTGGTGCTCTAGGTTCCACCCTGGTGCTCCACGTCCCACCCTGGTGCTCCACGTCCCACCCTAGTGCTCTAGGTCCCACCCAGGTGCTCCTCGTCCCACCCTGGTGCTCCACGTCCCACCCTGGTGCTCCACGTCCCACCCTGGTGCTCTAGGTCCCACCCAGGTGCTCCACGTCCCACCCTAGTGTTCCACGTCCCACCCTGGAGCTCCACGTCCCACCCTAGTGCTCCACATCCCACCCTAGTGCTCCACGTCCCACCCTAGTGCTCCACGTCCCACCCTAGTGCTCCACGTCCCACCCTAGTGCTCCACGTCCCACCCTGGTGCTCCACTTCCCACCCTGGTGCTCCACGTCCCACCCTAGTGCTGCACGTCCCACCCTAGTGCTCCACGTCCCACCCTAGTGCTCCACGTCCCACCCTAGTGCTCCACGTCCCACCCTGGTGCTCCACGTCCCACCCTGGTGCTCCACGTCCCACCCTAGTGCTGCACGTCCCACCCTAGTGCTCCACGTCCCACCTTCGTGCTCCACGTCCCACCCTAGTGCTGCACGTCCCACCCTAGTGCTTCACGTCCCACCCTGGTGCTCCACGTCCCACCCTGGTGCTCCACGTCCCACCCTGGTGCTCCACGTCCCACCCTAGTGCTCCACGCCTCACGCTAGTGCTCCACGTCCCACCCTAGTGCTCCACGTCCCACCCAGATGCTCCACGTCCCACCCTAGTGCTTCACGTCCCACCCTGGTGCTTCACGTCCCACCCTGGTGCTCCACGTCCCACCCTGGTGCTTCACGTCCCACCCTGGTGCTTCACGTCCCACCCTAGTGCTTCACGTCCCACCCTAGTGCTCCACGTCCCACCCTGGTGCTTCACGTCCCACCCTGGTGCTTCACGTCCCACCCTGGTGCTTCACGTCCCACCCTGGTGCTTCACGTCCCACCCTAGTGCTTCACGTCCCACCCTAGTGCTCCACGTCCCACCCTGGTGCTTCACGTCCCACCCTGGTGCTTCACGTCCCACCCTGGTGCTTCACGTCCCACCCTGGTGCTTCACGTCCCACCCTGGTGCTTCACGTCCCACCCTAGTGCTTCACGTCCCACCCTGGTGCTTCACGTCCCACCCTGGTGCTTCACGTCCCACCCTAGTGCTTCACGTCCCACCCTAGTGCTCCACGTCCCACCCAGATGCTCTACGTCCCACCCTAGTGCTTCACGTCCCACCCTGGTGCTTCACGTCCCACCCTAGTGCTCCACGTCCCACCCTGGTGCTTCACGTCCCACCCTGGTGCTTCACGTCCCACCCTGGTGCTTCACGTCCCACCCTAGTGCTTCACGTCCCACCCTGGTGCTTCACGTCCCACCCTGGTGCTTCACGTCCCACCCTAGTGCTTCACGTCCCACCCTAGTGCTCCACGTCCCACCCTAGTGCTCCACGTCCCACCCTAGTGCTTCACGTCCCACCCTAGTGCTCCACGTCCCACCCAGATGCTCTACGTCCCACCCTAGTTCTTCACGTCCCACCCTAGTGCTTCACGTCCCACCCTAGTGCTCCACGTCCCACCCTGGTGCTTCACGTCCCACCCTGGTGCTCCACGTCCCACCCTGGTGCTTCACGTCCCACCCTGGTGCTTCACGTCCCACCCTGGTGCTTCACGTCCCACCCTGGTGCTTCACGTCCCACCCTAGTGCTCCACGTCCCACCCTAGTGCTCCACGTCCCACCCTAGTGCTCTACGTCCCACCCTAGTGCTGCACGTCCCACCCTGGTGCTTCACGTCCCACCTTGGTGCTTCCTTTTAGGCTAATCATACTGTTCAGTCGACAGTGTTTCAATGTTATAATATCAGGTCATGGTGAAGGTTGACCTTGGTTCTCACTTATAGTTCTGTAGCTACCAGCTCATAATGAAGGTTGACCCTCTTGCTTTTCACTTAAGGAGCAAGATGCAAGTGACTGGGGCTGATCGCTCTCTCCCTGAGCCACCTTCCTTTACCAGTTCTCTCTCATCTTCCTGTTCCGTCACAAAAGGGAGAGTAAAAAAAGTTGTAAATGAAACACATCTAAGCAAGACCTTGGGGCAAGACTCTGGAGTCTCAACCTCCTGGAAAGGTGTTCTGAACTTCCACTTGCAACGCTCCTTGCAAGCATGCATTGCTCAACACACCTAGTCACTCACCTGGAGAAAGCCAAGCTTGTCTATAAATAAGAAATAGAAGCTTTTAAGCCAATGTTTTTGTTCTCAAATCATTTTGTTCTCAAATCATTTTGTTCTCAAATCATTTTGTTCTGAAATCATAATCTCAAATCATTTTGTTCTCAAATCCAATCATGAAACTTATGTTGGGGAACTAGAACATTTTCTAGATTATAAGTACCTGTTAAGTAAGACATGCTCCCTAAATTTCAGATATTTTATCCATAATAAATATTTCGATAATGATAGATCATAGGTTATTTTTATGCCATCATCGTGACAAATATTGACTTCTAATATTGACTAATATTGTAACATTGTGGATACCAGACGCATCCCCTGCGTCTGGTGCCCACAGGAGGCTGCCAGCCGCAGCAACACCATGTTAGAGATGTAATCCCTTGCTTCTGGTGCCCACAGGAGGCTGCCAGCCGCAGCAACACCATGTTAGAGATGTAATCCCTTGCTTCTGGTGCCCACAGGAGGCTGCCAGCCGCATCAACACCATGTTAGAGATGTAATCCCTTGCTTCTGGTGCCCACAGGAGGCTGCCAGCCGCATCAACACCATGTTAGAGATGTAATCTTTTGCTTCTGGTGCCTACAGGAGGCTGCCTGGCGACGCTGATCCAGTGGCCGGTCATCATCGCTGCCGGAATCATCATCCCGGTCTTCGGCTTCGCCTTCATCATCATGGGAGCCTTAAATATTAATCGTTGTAAAATTGAGCCAATGATCCCAATTTGGCTCATTGTTCAAGGTGAGACACTAGTGTTATTGTTCATGATGAGCTGCTCCTGTTGTTGTTGTTCAGGGTGAGCTGCTCCTGTTGTTGTTGTTCAGGGTGAGCTGCTCCTGTTGTTGTTGTTCAGGGTGAGTTGCTCCTGTTGTTGTTGTTCAGGGAGTGCTGCTCCTGTTGTTGTTGTTCAGGGTGAGCTGCTCCTGTTGTTGTTGTTGAGGGTGAGTTGCTCCTGTTGTTATTGTTCAGGGAGAGCTGCTCCTGTTGTTGCTCATAATGAGATCCTGCTGTTGTATCCAGTAACGCTGGTTCAAACTGTGTACTATTCCACCCACTAGTACTGGTACTAACTGTGCACTATTCCACCCTTTACTACTGGTCCTAACTGTGTACTATTCCACCTATTACACTGGCACTAACTGTGTAATATTTTACCCTCTATTATCACTGTTACTAATTGTACTATTCCATACTCTAACTTTGGTACTAACTGTGTGTGTGTACTATTCCACCCATTAACACCAGTACTGTGTAATATTCCACCAACTATCACTCGTTCTAACTGTGTACTATTCCATCCACTAACCCCTGGTACTAACTGTGTACTATTACACCCACTAACACTAATGCTAACTGTGAATTATTCCACCCAATAACCCTAATTCTAACTGTGTACTATTCCACACACTAACACTGGTACTAACTCGGTACTATTTCACCCACTAATACTGGTACTAACTGTGTACTATTCCACCCATTAGCACTGGTACTAACTGTATATTATTCCACCAATTAGCACTTGTACTAACTGTGTACTATTTCATTCAATAGCACTATTACTAACTGTGTACTATTCCACCCAGTTACCATAACACTGTGCATTATTCGACCCACTAACAATAGAACTAACTTTGCATCCAGTAACACTGGTACAAACTTTGAACTATTACACCCTTTACCACTAGTACAAACCTTGAACTATTACACCCAATAACTCTGATACTACATGTATTTTTTCCACCCAGTAACATTGGTAGGAACTGTCTACTATTTCACCTACTGACACTGGTACTAACTGTGTACTTTTCTACTCTCTGCAACTGGTACTAACTGTGTACTATTCCACCCAATAACACCGGTACTAACTGTGGTACTAACTGTGTACTATTCCACCCATTACCACAGGTACTAACTGTGTACTATTCCACCTACTAACACTGGTACTGTGTACTATTCAACCAACTAACACTGATATTATCTGTGTACTGTTCTTCCATCCGCTAGCACTTGTACTAACTGTGTACTATTCCACCTAAACATCGCCTGGAACTATCTGTGTACTGTTCAACCCACTAACATTGGTACTAACTCTGTACTTTTCCACCACTAACACTGGTAATAAATGTGTACTATTGCTCCCACTAAACTTGGTGCTAACTGTGTACTATTCCAATCACTAACCCTAGTATTACCTATGTACTATTCACTAAATAACACTGCTACTAACTGTGTGTTATTACACGCAATAGCACTGGCACTAACTGTGTACTATTCCAACCTCTATCCTTGATACTAACTGTGTACTATTCCACCCACTAACTCTGATTCTAACTATGTACTATTCCCCTCACTAACACTGGTACTAACTCTGCACTATTCCACCCATAACCCAAATACTGACTGTGTACTATTCTACGCTTTCCCTAATACTAACTGTGTACTATTCCACCCACTAACTCTAATGCTAACTGTGTTCTATTCCATCCACTAACATAGACACTGTGTATTATTCCAGCCTCTATCACTGATACTAACTGTATACTATTCATCCCACTAATTCTGGTACTAACTGTGTAGTATTGCACCTACTAACACTGGTACTAACTAGGTACTATTCCACCAACTAACACTGGTGCTAACTAGGTACTATTCCACCAACTAACACTGGTACTAACTAGGTACTATTCCACCAACTAACACTGGTACTAACTAGGTACTATTCCACCAACTAACACTGGTACTAACTAGGTACTATTGCACCAACTAACACTGGTATTAACTAGATACTATTCCACCATCTAACACTGGTACTAACTAGGTACTATTCCACCAACTAACACTGGTACTAACAGTGTACTTTTCCACCCACTAACCCTTATACTAACTATGTACTATTCCACCCAATAACACTGGTGCTAACTCTGTATTATTGCACCCGCTAACACTGTTATTCTGGGTACTATTCAGTAGTAGGGATGGCAGCGTATGAGGCCTTTTTTTATGGGGATGGGCCCGATTTGGAGTTAAAGGTTTCTTATGGGGAAAATTCAAGACAAAAGGGCCAGATTTTGGACTTGAAGAGTTCTTATGGGGAAAATTCAGACCAAAAATCACTTATTCATTCTTGAAGGTTTCTTATGGGAGAAATTCAAAAATAATTTAGAGTTCAGTTTTATGAAAGTATTTCAGAGTTCATATGATCATAGAAGTTTATTTAAGAGTTTAAGACCGAAAATATTAAAAAAATAAAACATTTTCAGAGGATATTGTCATAGAAGTTATGTTAAGGAAAATAGACATCTTAGCAGTATGTTTTTGTTTTATAATCATTTTCTGCTCTTTCAACAATATAAGACCTAAATTATTCAGAGTCCAGTAGAAGACCGAAATTAGTTAGACCATTTGAAGACCTAAATTTAGCAGACATCATTGAAAGACCGAAATTAGTCAGAGACCAGTTAAAGACCGAATTTCTTCAAAGTCCAGTAAAAGACCAAAATATTTCAAAGACCATTTTCAGAGTTCATATAAACATAGAAGTTTGTTAAGGAAAATGGACATCTTAGCCGTGACTTTTAGTTTGTATATCCATTTATAGCTGTTTCATCACTAAAAAAAACGAAAATTATTCAGAGTTCAGTTTAAGCCCATAATTAGTCAGAGAATAGTTGAAGACCGACATATAACAAAGATCATTAAAAGATCGAAATAATTTCAGAGACCATTTAAGACCTAAAATTCGTCAGAGACCATTTAAGATAAAAAAATTACAGGGTCCATTTTGAGACCAAAATTTGTTAGAGTCCAGATTGGGACCAAAATTCGTCAGAGTTCATTTTAAGACCAAAATTCGTCAGAGTCCCATTTGAGACCCAAAATTATTCTTATTAGAGTCCAGTTAAAGACCGAAATTAGTCAAAGACCGCATTGATAAGTCCATTTTCGCTATGAATAGTTCAATTTTAAACAGTGTATTTCAGACGTAATAAATCAAATCAAGTCAGTAAGCAAGTTCTAGCTCCTGTTCCCTGCACTTCTTTACCCCCCATAACTTCCTTACTAACAGTCCAATCCCCTGAAATTAAAGACAGCTATATTTCGTACCTATTAAAATAGATCCGAACAATTATCGAGTTGTAGCTCTTGTCCTCCGCCTTACTTTACTGTTACAACTCTGTCAATACCAGATCAATTTCCCTGAAATTTAAACCCGCTGTATTTCAGAACTTGTAAATTACAATAATTTAGTTACCGAGCTCCAGCGCCTGTCCCCCACCTTAACCCTCTCTCGTATCTTCGTTAATACCTGAATAATTTCCCTGAAATTTATCACCGCTGTACTTCAGACATAGTGCAATACAACGATTTAGTTAATGAACTCCAGCTTTTGTCTCCCATCTTACTTTATTTGAATAACTTCTTTCCTGTCTGATAATTTTCTTCAAGATTAAACCCCAGTATTTTTCGGACATAGTAAGTCAGATCGAGTCAGTAAGCAAGTTCTAGCTAACGTCCCCCCCCCTTCCCCCACCCTAGTTCCCTTTCGTATCTTCTTAAGTAGCTAACCAAATCTCCTGAAATTAAAACATAGTTATTTCAGATGTAGTAAATAAGACCAAAGTAGTTACAGAGTTTCAGCTCTTGTCTTCCTCCTTAGTTAATTATTACCAGTCCAAATCCTCTGAGATTTAAAACCCCAATATATTTCAGATCTTGTAAAATATACCAAAGAAATTACCGAGCTCCAATTCCCGTCCTCCACTTTACTTCATCAAGCTTAGTATTTCAGATCAAGAAGCTCCCCAGTCTATCACCTTATCAAAGTAACATATCCTGTCCTTCAATACCCCTGTTTTACTCATCTATGTAAATAATCATTCATACAGTAATAATAATAATCACACGGTCATATCGCACCTTACCTTTTCCCCTCCCTTACCTTCCCCACCCCTTACCTTCCCGACACCATACCTTCCCCACCCCTTACCTTCCCCAACTCCCTTTCGCCGTTATTTTCCTCTCTTTCCCCCCACTGGTAAGGGGGAGAGCGCCCTCTCCCCCTTACTCTTCCTTCATCTCTCCCTCACCCACCCCCTATTCCCCCCCTCCATCTCGCCCATTTCCCAAATTATCCAAACCTTCATTAATCTTACTGTATCTTGTATATTCTCTCCATATTCACTGTGTTCTGTGAAAATGTTCTTATCATGTTCAGTTAAAGTTCTTTTCATGTTCACTGGGTTCATCACCTTCTCTTACATGTTTTCTGTGCTCTTTGTCATATTCTCTTTTTCTCAGAATGTTCTCTGCAAGTTCAAATCATATTTTCGCACTCTTCTATGTTCACTGTGTTCTTTGTCAAGTTCTCCGTATGTTCACCGCATTCTCTTACATGTTCTTAAACAAATCTGCACTTTATACAGTAAAAAATTTACCTTGTAAATTGTAAAATGTAAATATAATAGATATTTACAAGATCACTAACACCAGTACTAACTGCGTACTGTTCCACCTAAATATTCCCTTGTACTATCTGTGTACTGTTCAACCCATTAACACCTGTACTAATTGTGTATTATTCCACCCACTAACACTGGTACTAACTGTGTAGTTTTCCACCTAATATACCTAGAACTAACTGTGGTTCTATTAGTACACTGGTACTAACTGCGTACTGTTCAACCCACTTACATTGATACTATGTACTTTTCCACCACTAACACTGGTAATAAATATGTACTATTCCACCCACTAACACTGTTACTAACTGTGTTCTGTTGCACCCAGTAAACCTGGTACTAACTCTATACTATTCCACTCACTAACCCTGCTACTAACTGTGTACTATTCACTAAATAACACTAGTACTAACTGTGCACTATTCACTAAATAACACTAGTACTAACTGTGCACTATTCACTAAATAACACTAGTACTAACTGTGTACTATTCACTAAATAACACTAGTACTAACTGTGTACTATTCACTAAATAACACTAGTACTAACTGTGTACTATTCACTAAATAACACTAGTACTAACTGTGTACTATTCCACCCACTAACCCAAATACCGACTGTGTACTATTCACTAAATAACACTAGTACTAACTGTGTACTATTCCGCCCACTAACCCAAATACCGACTGTATACTATTTCACGTACAATCCCTAATAATAACTATGCACTATTCCACCCACTAACTCAAATAGTAACTGTGTACTATTCCACCCGCTAACACTAGTACTAACTGTGTACTATTTCACCTAATATCCCAGGTACTAACTGTGTAGAGTTCCACCCACTAACACTGGTACTAACTGTGTACTATTCCACCCAATATCCATTGTAATAACTGTGTGCTATTGCACCCAATAACTCTGGTACTAACTTTTTACTATTCCACCTACTGACACTGGAACTAACTGTGAACTATTCCACCCTCTAACACTGGTATCAACTGTGTACTATCCACCCACTAACCCTGGTACTAACTGTGTACTTTTACACCCTTTACTACTGGTGCTAACTGTGTACTATTCAAACCACTAAAATTGGTACTAACTGCGTACAATTCCACCCACTAATCCTGGTACTAACTGTGTACTATTCTACCCAGAATCACTCGTTCTAACTGTGTACTTCTCTTGCCACTAACATAAGAACATAAGAACATAAGAACAAAGGTAACTGCAGAAGGCCTATTGGCCCATACGAGGCAGCTCCTATTCTATAACCACCCAATCCCACTCATATACTTGTCCAACCCGTGCTTGAAACAATCGAGGGACCCCACCTCCACAATGTTACGCGGCAATTGGTTCCACAAATCAACAACCCTGTTACTGAACCAGTATTTACCCAAGTCTTTCCTAAATCTAAACTTATCCAATTTATACCCATTGTTTCGTGTTCTGTCCTGTGTTGATACTTTTAATACCCTATTAATATCCCCCCGGTTATGTCCATTCATCCACTTGTAAACCTCTATCATGTCACCCCTAACTCTTCGCCTTTCCAGTGAATGCAACTTAAGCTTTGTTAATCTTTCTTCATATGAAAGATTTCTAATTTGGGGAATTAACTTAGTCATCCTACGCTGGACACGTTCAAGTGAATTTATATCCATTCTATAATATGGCGACCAAAACTGAACTGCATAATCTAAATGAGGCCTAACTAGAGCAAGATATAGCTTGAGAACCACACCAGGTGTCTTGTTACTAACGCTGCGATTAATAAATCCAAGTGTCCGATTTGCCTTATTACGAACATTTATGCATTGATCCTTTTGTTTTAAATTCTTACTAATCATAACTCCCAGATCCCTTTCGCAATCCGACTTCGCAATCACAACACCATCTAGCTCGTATCTTGTAACTCTATCATCATTACCTAACCTCAGAACTTTACATTTATCAGCATTAAACTGCATCTGCCAATCCTTTGACCATTTCAAAACCCTATCTAGATCAACTTGAAGTGATAGTGAGTCCTCCTCCGAATTAATTTCCCTACCGATTTTCGTATCATCGGCAAATTTGCAAATGTTGCTACTCAAACCTGAATCTAAATCATTTATATATATTATAAACAACAGAGGTCCCAGGACAGAGCCTTGAGGCACTCCACTTACAACATTTTCCCACTCTGACTTGATTCCATTTATACTAACTCTCTGTTTCCTTTGGTATAGCCATGCCCTAATCCAGCTTAATATAGCACCCCCAATACCATGAGACTCTATCTTTTTAATCAGTCTTTCATGTGGCACTGTATCAAAAGCTTTGCTAAAGTCAAGGTATACAACATCGCAATCCTTACCACTATCAACTGCCTCAACAATGCTAGAATAAAAAGATAACAAATTTGTTAAACATGAACGGCCATTTATAAAACCATGTTGCGACTCAATTATTAATTTATGTTTTTCAAGATGAAGACGAATTTTATTTGCTATTATAGATTCGAGTAACTTTCCCACAATAGACGTTAGGCTAATTGGTCGATAGTTAGACGCAAGTGATCTATCTCCTTTCTTAAAAACTGGTATCACATTAGCAACTTTCCAAAACTCTGGCACTCTGCCTGACTCTATTGATTTATTAAATATGGTTGACAGTGGGTCACAAAGCTCCTCTTTGCATTATTTAAGCACCCTGGCAAACACTTCATCCGGCCCTGGGGATTTGTTTGGTTTGAGTTTTACTATTTGTTTAAGAACATCCTCCCTGGTAACTGTTAAACTCGTCAACCTGTCCTCGTCCCCACCCACATAGACTTGTTCGGCTGAAGGCATATTGTTAAGTTCCTCTTTAGTAAATACAGATACAAAATATTTATTAAAAATACTACTCATCTCTTCATCACTATCTGTTATTTGACCTGTCTCAGTTTTTAATGGACCTATCCTTTCCCTAGTCTTAGTACGATATAACTGAAAAAACCCTTTAGGATTTGTCTTTGCTTGCCCTGCTATGCGAACTTCATAGTTTCTTTTTGCTTTCCTTATCTCTTTTTTAACATTTCTAACCAGTTGTACGAATTCCTGTTCTAAAGTGACCTCCCCATTTTTCATCCTTTTGTACCAAGCTCTCTTTTTACCTATAAGGTTCTTCAAATTCTTTGTTATCCACTTTGGGTCATTAGTATTCGATCTATTCAATTTGTATGGTATACTACGTTCCTGTGCTTTGTTTAGAATATTCTTAAATAAGTTATATATTGAATCCACATCGAAATCCCCATTTAAGTCACCTATCGCTGGGTTCATGTCTCGCTCCAAGACCGGCCCACACCCCATACCCAAGACTTTCCAATCATTTTGACCCAAAAAATTTCTTAGGCTATTAAAATCAGCTTTTCGAAAATCTGGCACTTTAACAGAATTTTCTCCTACTGGTCTATTCCATTCTATGCTAAATCTGATTTCTTTGTGATCACTGCTCCCTAGCTCACTCCCTATTTCGATGTCATTAATTTGCGTTTCCCTGTTAGTTAACACTAAATCTAAAATATTATTTTCCCGTGTTGGTTCCTTAATGTGTTGCGTAAGAAAGCAATCGTCAATTAATTCTAGAAAATCTTCTGCTTCACTATTCCCTGTTTTGTTCAACCAGTTTATTCCGCTAAAATTAAAGTCACCCATGACATAAATACTGTTAGATCTAGATGCTCTAGATATTTCATCCCATAGATGCTTTGCTTCCATTCTGTCTAAATTTGGTGGCCTATATATTACTCCTATTATAATATTATTAGCTTTTTCGTTTAATTCAATCCAAATAGTTTCTGTGTGTGGCTCTGTTTTGATTCCCTCTTTGAGACTACATTTCAAATTGTCCCTAACATATATGGCTACTCCACCTCCTCGTCTAATATATCTATCTGTGTGAAATAGTTTAAATCCATATATTTGATATTCAGCTAATAGTTCTCTATTTTCTACATTCATCCACGTTTCCAACTAACAGTGGAACTAATTGTGTTCTATTCCACCAACTAACACTGGAACTAACTGGGTACTATTTCACCCAGTAACACTAGTACTAACTTTCCATCAAATATTCTTGGTACTAACTCTGTACTATTCCACCTAATATCCATTGTACTAAATGTGTACTATTCCAACCAATAACTCTGGTATTAAGTTTGTACTATTCCACCACTAACACTGGAACTAACTGTGTTCTATTTCACCCTCTAAAACTGGTACTTACTGTGTATTATTCCACACTTTACCACTGGTGTTAACTGTGTACTATCCAACCACTAACACTGGTACTAATTGTGTGATATTCTACCCTTTACCACTTTTGATAACTGTTTACTATTCCACCCAGTAACACTAATACTAACTGTGTACTGTTCAACCCACTAACACTTGTACTAACTGTGTACTATTGTACCCTTTACCACTAGTGCTAACTGTGTACTATTCCACCCACTAACACTAGTACTGACTATGTTCTATTCCACGTTCTACACTAATGCTAACTTTATACTATTCCACCCACTATCTCTAATACTACCTGTGTACTAGTACCCACTAGCACTGGTACTAACTGTTTGCTATTCCACCCTTTACCACTGGTGCTAACTGTGTACTATTCCACCAACTAACACTAGTAGTAACATTTTAATATTCCACCCACTAAGACTGGTACTAACTGTGTACTATTCCACCCACTAACCCTGGTACTAACTGGGTACTATTCCACCAACACTGGTAATAAATGTGTACTCCTTATGTGTACCACTTACAGGTACTAACTATGTACTATTCAAACTAGTAATTTTGGTACTAACTGTGTGCTATTCCACCCACTAACCCTAATACTAAATGTGTACTATTCCAGGGTCGGAATAGTTACCTGGTATTTAGCCAGTTACTCTCCCACCCACTCACCCGTGTACTAACCAAGTACTGCCTTAACTACGCAGGTGTGGTGATGGTGTTTGGTATAGGTATTGGGGGCGCCGCCAAGCACAGCTCCAGCAAGGGTCAAGTCTCACTCCCAGTAAAGGTCGTCGGCTTTGTCGTCTCCGTGGTCACTGTCGTCTGGTTCGCTACAGGTAAGTCGAAGACTGTTTGTAAGATGTGTATATCTGTATATATGTGTACGATGTGTGATTATGTCTGTAAGGGGGCGCGAGGGTGCATGTTTTATTTATTTTATTTATTTATTTATTTATATACAATAAGGTACATTGGGTTTGTGAGAATACATAGCATAGTATTTACAATCTTGTAAAGCCACTAGTACGTGCAGCGTTTCCGGCAGATCCTTAATCTAACAGATAATTTTAAGTAGGTAAATTCTAGCAGAATTAATAAAATGATAAATACATTGCAAGAAAAAAAAATGAGATGAGAGAGATTAGTAAGTATATTAAAGCACAATGGTATATTAAAGCTCTGATTGATTACATTGACAGCTTGATTGGTAATTTAAACAAGATTAATAGACACCATACAGCAGATTGACAGCACATATAAGAATACAGCAATGATCACAATGGTAAAGATGTTCGGATTGGGTACATAAAGATTGGGAGATTGGGTAGCAATAGATACAGTGCAATTTTAAAGCAAAAGGTAAAAAACTATGAAGATGAAATTAGGTACTTTTTAGTATTGTTTTTGAATGACGCAAAAGTTGGACAGCTTTTCAATTCAATCGGGAATGAGTTCCATAGACTGGGGTCTCTTTATTTGCATAGAGTGTTTACACAGATTGATATCCCCAAAGTCAAACTTAAAGAGATATTTATTTCTGGTGTGGTGATAATAGGTCCTATTACATCTGTCCAGGGAGAGTTTCAGAGCAGGATTTGCATTTAAGAACAGGGTTTTGTAAATGTAGTTGACACAAGAGAATTTGTGGAGTGAGATTATGTTTAGCATGTTTAGGGAGTTAAACAAGGGGGCTGAGTGTTGTCTGAAAGCAGAATTTGTTATTATTCTGATAGTAGATTTTTGCTGGGTGATGATGGACTTGAGGTGGTTTGCAGTGGTTGAACCCCATGCACAGATACCATAATTAAGATAGGGATAGATTAGTGCATAATATAGAGAGATGAGAGCAGAGTTAGGTACATAATATCTGATTTTGGAGAGTATACCAACTGTTTTAGAGACTTTCTTAGTTATGTGTTGTATGTGGGTACTGAAGTTGAGTTTCTTGTCTAGGCCGAGAAACTTTCCATCATTTTTATTGCTAATGTTTACATTGTCTATCTGAAGCTGAATTGCATTTGTAGATTTGCTTCCAAATAAGATGTAGTAGGTCTTTTCTATGTTAAGTGTTAGTTTGTTGGTTGACATCCATAAGTGGACTTTTTTTAGTTCATTATTAACAACATTATTTAGTGTATGTGGGTTGGGGTTAGAGTAGATGAGGGTAGTATCATCAGCAAACAAAATAGGTTTCAGAATGTTAGAGACATTAGGCAGATCATTGATGTATATAAGAAATAGAAGAGGTCCCAAAATGCTGCCCTGTGGCACTCCAACGGTTATTGGTAGAGTGGGAGAGGTTATATTATTGATGGCTACACATTGGTGTCTATCACTAAGATAGGATTGGGTATAGTCCAGTGCATGGCCTCGGATTCCATAATGATGGAGTTTACGTAAGAGGTAATTGTGATTAACAGTATCAAAGGCCTTTCTCAGGTCAATGAAGAGTCCAATCGGAAACTCATTTTTGTCAAGGGCTGAGTAAATTATATCAAGGAGACTAATAATTGCATCGTTGGTACTCTTTTGGAAGCGGAAGCCAAACTGACAGGGGCTAAGAATGTCGAATTTTACGAAATAGGAGTAGAGCTGTTTGTAGATAATTTTTTCAAATATTTTTGATAATATGGGTAGGTTTGATATTGGTCTATAATTGTTTATGTCTTCCGGATTATACCTCCTTTATGAACTGGCGTTACTCTTGCTTTTTTAAGGATATCAGGGAAGGTATGACACTCAAGGGATTTGTTGAACAGCAGAGCTATAGGTGTTTATCTGAGTTTCCTGAGAGCCACTAACACTAATGGCCTCGATGAAGAGAGGAAACCGGCGGCTTGTCGAGTGTCCCTGCATTACATGTGAATGACTGTAGGGTATATCAGACTGTATATGCCTGCAGTTGTGAGGTGTAAGTCCGTATATGACACAACATTACCTAATGTGTCGACATTTGTTTTAGGAATTCTCATAATTTTCTAAATGTCTGTAATTGTAAATAAAGTAAATAATGTCTGCATCTATCCAGGGCTGGGGTTGTTGCTGTTGCAAAACCGTTGGAACCAGTGGTTGGAGGCGTTCGTTTGGGTTTGGGTTTAAGCTGTTAGTAGATAGTGGTATGAGAATTGATTTGGAGAAAGGAGGAAATAAGAGTATGTGATTGTGGGGGAAACAAATTGGCAAAATGTTCAGGGAAAGAGAAGGGCCTCAAAATAACAGTACACTTAGGGTATATTACACTAACAGTAGAAGTCTAAGAAACAAAATAAAGGATTTAAATGCTCTTGTCTGCACAGAAAAAATAGATATTATTGCACTTACCGAAACGTGGATGAATGTAGAAAATAGAGAACTATTAGCTGAATATCAAATAAATGAATTTAAACTATTTCACACAGATAGATATATTAGACGAGGAGGGGGAGTAGCCATATATGTTAGGGAAAAATTTGAAATGTAGTCTCAAAGAGGGAATCAAAACTGAGCCACACACTCTGAAACTATTTGGCTATAATTAAACGAATAAGCAAATAATCTTATAATAGTAGTTATATACAGGCCACAGTTATATACTGTTATATATATTCTTTCTTAGAAAGAATGGAAGCAAAGCATCTATGGGATAAAATATCTAGAGCATCTAGGTCTAGCAGTATGTGTGTCATGGGGTGACTAATTTTAGTGGAATAAACCGGTTTAACAATTAGGGAATAATGAAGCAGAAGATTTTCTAGAATTATTTGACGATTGCTTTCTTACGCAACACATTAAGGAACCAACGTAAGAAAAAATATTATAGATATAATGTTAACTAACAGGGAAATACAAATTAATCAGATTTAAACACAAATTGATCAGATCACAATGAAATCAGATTTAGCATAGAATGGAATAGATCTATAGGAGAAAATTCTGTTAAAGTGCTAGATTTTCGAAAAGCTGATTTTAATAGCCAAAGAAATTTTTGGGGTCAAATAGATTGAAAAGTCTTGGGCATGGGGGGTGGGCCGGTCTTGGAGTGTGACGTGAACCCAGCGATAGGTGACGTAAAAATGGATTTCGATGTGGATTCAAAATATAACTTATTTAAAAATATTCTAAGCAAAGCATAGGAACGTAGTATACCATACAAATTGAATAGATCGAATATTAATGACACGAAATGGATAACAAAGGATCTGAAGAACCTCATAGGTAGAAATAATGCTTGGTACAAAAAGATTAAGAATTGGAAGTCAATTTAGAACAAGAATTCGTACAACTGGTTAGAAATGTTAAAAAAGAGATAAGGAGGGCAAAAAGAAACTATGATGTTCCCATACCAGGGAGAGCAAAGGTAAATCCTAGTTTTTTTCAGTTATATTTGTGTATTATGAGTAATTGTGTATTAGCTTTACTAGATTTCTTGATATGCAGCGCTTCACTGATGTCTTATCTTCTATTGTCATTGTATCTATCAATTATTTCGTTGTTGCTCGTCAAAATATTTTGACGATCACCAAAATATTTTGGTGATCGTCCCGTTGTGTGTGTGTGTGTGGTGATTATATGCTACTTGATGGAGCCCTGTTGTTTGTGCAAAACACACTTTGTTGTTGACTCTACACTTTGGCCCATGTTGTCTTCATTTTGGCCCATCTTGACTTCATTTTGGCCTATGTTGACCCTATTCTTTGGCCCGTGTTGACCCTTCACTTTGGACCCTGTTGACACTACACTTGGGCACTTGTTGATCCTACTGTTTGCCCCATATTGACTCTAAACTTTGTCAAATGTTGACCTAAAAGTTTGGCCCATGTTGACCCAAAATTTTGGCTCTTGTTCACTAAACAATTTGGCCGTTGTTTACCCTTCAATTTGGCCCATGGTGACCCTACACTTTTGCTCTTGTTAATCCTACACTTTGGCCCTTGTTCACCCCCACTTTAATCCTTGTTCATCCAACACTTTGCTCAGTGTTGACCCTACACTTTAGCCCATGTGCACCCTACACTTTGGCCTATGTTGACCCTGAACTTTAGCCCATGTAAACACTGCATTTTGGCCTATTTTGATCCTACACTTTGGCCCTTGTTGACCCTACACCTTTACCTATGTTAAACATAAAATTTTGCCCATATTGACTCTACACTTTGGTCCATGTTGACTTTACACTTTATTGACTCTGTAGTGTTGTAGACACTACATTTTAGCTCATGTTATCTCTACACTTTTGCCCATGTTCACCCTACACTTTTACCCCTGTTGACCCTACACTTTGACCCCTTGTTGACCCTACACTTTGGCCTCCTGTTCACCCTACGATTTGGCCCTTGTTGATTCTAAACTTTTGCCCATGTTCACCCTACACTTTTGCCCATATTCACCCTACACTTTTGTCCTTGCTGACCCTACAGTTTGGCCCCTAATTACGCTACACTTTGGTCAATGTTCATTCTACACTTTGGCCCCTGTTGACCCCTACACCTTTGCCTTGTCGACCCTACACTTTTGCCCAAGTTGACCCTACATTTTGGCTCTTATTGACCCCTACACTTTGGCCCTTGTTGACCCTACACTTTCCTTCTAGCGAGGCCCCCCTAGCGGGCGAGTGGTATAGAACTATTTTCCTGTGTCACTGCTTTATCTTGCATTGTTCGGTCACGTGTCCTGTAAATAATATACTCTGAAGTATATTTACATATACTACAAAATCTTCGATAATTAACTTGCAAATTCACAATAGTTTTAGCATATCCATTATTGTTGCATGTTTATCCCCAGTCTACTTGAACCACTTGAGTATATCCAGAGTATCCAGAGTATCCAGAGTATCCAGGGGTTATCCCAAATATGATCAACAGTTTGGCCACCAACATTGATCAGCTTGCATTATATGATAGAGTGTACGTTGCTCAGTTTGCATTATATATGTTTACATTACATTATACTCACTATATCTGGGGGGAAGAGAGAGAGAGAGAGAGAGAGAGAGAGAGAGAGAGAGAGAGAGAGAGAGAGAGAGAGAGAGAGAGAGAGAGTGAGAGAGTGTGAGAAAGAGAGTGTGAGAGAGTGTGTGAAAGAGAGAGTGTGAGAGAGTGTGTGAGAGAGTGTGAGAGTGTGTGAGAGAGAGTGTGAGAGAGTGTGAGAGAGAGAGAGAGAGTGTGTGAGAGAGAGAGAGAGTGTGAGAGAGAGAGTGAGAGAGTGTGAGTGTGTAAGTAAGTAAGTAAGTTTGGTAAGGGGTAACCAGGGAACTTGACTCAGTGTCCGCTCCTCCCACAGGGAACTTCTGGGTGTACCAAGCCTGGGGCCAGACTCCGGACTACGCCCATGACTGGTTTGAGAACGGCTGCAACAAGAGCCTCTATAACCTGGCCTTCGTCGGCGTCATCGTCCTCGACGCCCTCTTCATCATCTCCGCTATCGTCGGATGCATCGCCTTCGTCCTCCGGGGCTGCAAATTCAGATAGATGGTGACAGGGGCGGGAGAGGTGGCTGGGTGGATGACGTTTGGGTGTGGCTCTACCATCAGCATGGCTGGGTGGATGATGTGTTGTGTCTCCACAACCAGTTCCCACTAACCTCGGCCACAACCAGATCCCACTAACCTGAACCACAACCAGATCCCACTAACCTGAGCCACAACCAGATCCCACTAACCTGAGCCACAACCAGATCCCACTAACCTGAGTCACAACCAGTTCTCACTAACCTGAGCCACAACCAGATCCCACTAACCTGAGTCACAACCAGATCCCACTAACCTGAGTCACAACCAGATCCCACTAACCTGAGCCACAACCAGTTCCCACTAACCTGAGCCACAACCAGTTCCCACTAACCTGAGCCACAACCAGTTCCCACTAACCTGAATCACAACCAGATCCCTCTAACCTGAGCCACAACCAGATCCCTCTAACCTGAGCCACAACCAGTTCCCACTAACCTGAGCCACAACCAGTTCCCACTAACCTGAGCCACAACCAGATCCCACTAACCTGAGCCACAACCAGTTCCCACTAACCTGAGCCACAACCAGTTCCCACTAACCTGAGCCACAACCAGTTCCCACTAACCTGAGCCACAACCAGTTCCCACTAACCTGAGCCACAACCAGTTCCCACTAACCTGAGCCACAACCAGATCCCTCTAACCTGAGCCACAACCAGTTCCCACTAACCTGAGCCACAACCAGTTCCCACTAACCTGAGCCACAACCAGTTCCCTCTAACCTGAGCCACAACCAGTTCCCACTAACCTGAGCCACAACCAGTTCCCACTAACCTGAGCCACAACCAGTTCCCTCTAACCTGAGCCACAGAGAGAGGCTTAACTGAAGGTATTTTACGTGTATTTATAAGGTACTTTAATATTAACCTATGGCAATATTAACCTATGTTAATATTATCATATTGGAATATCATCCAATGTTAATATTATTCTACAGGAAGATTATCAAATGCGAATATTTTCCTATGTGAATATTAACTTGTGGTAATATTAACCTATAATTTCCATTAACTAAGTAATGTTAAGATAAATGTAGATGAGATGGGATGTGGTCATTTATGTTAAAGATGTTCTTAACTTTAAGGAATTCAACAATGATAAAGTTGGTAAAATGTCCAAATATAGGATATAACACACTGCTACAATGTTATATATAATACAACAGTGTAATTGTGTCATATATTATATAATGAAACAATGTAACACTGTCACATACAGCAAAATACAACAAATATTATGTACTAGAAGTATAGTGCTGTCTTCCTTCATTTTCTCCTAATTATTGCATAACATTTGCTAAATATTCAAGTCGTACATGTTAGCTCTTTTTAACAACCAATTAACAAGTTTACAACTTGTTAACGTAACTACCATTAAGAATTTACCCCCATTAAACCTTTAAATTTTTACTGATTTATTTTATGTTGTGCCCAATATGTTACGTGTTCTTGAGGCTTTACTAAATATGCTCCGTCGTATATTGTAATGTTTCTGGTGTTATTAATAATAGTAAGTACTATAGCTGTACTGTTGATAAAACTAGAGAACCTATAATGATGTAGTCCATATCAGGTGTCATTGTCACCTTCATATTGTTTATCTGTTGGTAGCATTCTTCAGAGCACAGCCACAGCCCCGCTCCTGTGCCAGGCAAGCCCTCTACGGGTTCACCATAGCCCGTGCTACTTGGAACTGTTACAGCCCCGCTCCTGTGCCAGGCAAGCCCTCTACGGGTTCACCATAGCCCGTGCTACTTGGAACTGTTACAGCCCCGCTCCTGTGCCAGGCAAGCCCTCTACGGGTTCACCATAGCCCGTGCTACTTGGAACTGTTACAGCCCCGCTCCTGTGCCAGGCAAGCCCTCTACGGGTTCACCATAGCCCGTGCTACTTGGAACTGTTTGTTCAGAGGTGCTTCTAATACAACATTAACTTGCTTGAACATCTCGCATGTGTTAACTTGTCAACGTCAAGTTAAAGCGAGGTAAACACGTGAGGTAAAGTGTTTACCTCATTTTAACATGACGTTGTTTTCTCAGTTATGCCAACCTTTGCCTGAAATGTTTTGCGTGTTAGTGGCGCTATTTGCCATGCAACAACCCCTGTACACCTGTAACCCTGTATTACTGTAAACCTGTAACCTTGTATACCTGTACACCTGTACTACTGTAAACCTGTAACCTTGTATACCTGTGCGCCTATACTACTGGACACCTGTACACATGTATCCCTATACTACTGTACACCTGTACACATGTATCCCTGTACTACTGGACACCTGTACACATGTATCCCTATACTGCTGTACACCTGTACACATGTATCCCTGTACTACTGTACACCTGTACACATGTATCCCTGTACTACTGTACACCTGTACACATGTATCCCTGTACTACTGTGCACCTGTACACATGTATCCCTGTACTACTGGACACCTGTACACATGTATCCCTATACTACTGTGCACATGTATCCCTGTACTACTGTACACCTGTATCCCTGTACTACTGTACACCTGTACACATGTATCCCTGTACTACTGTACACATGTATCCCTGTACTACTGTACACCTGTACACATGTATCCCTGTACTACTGGACACCTGTACACATGTATCCCTGTACTACTGTACACCTGTACACATGTATCCCTGTACTACTGGACACCTGTACACATGTATCCCTGTACTACTGTACACCTGTACACATGTATCCCTGTACTACTGGACACCTGTACACATGTATCTTCATATTTGCCTCAGTAATGTGTTCATATGTATGAATATTTTACGAATAAATTATTATTATAATTACTGTTATTATTATTATTATTACTCATTAAAGCCATACACAAGTACAGGTGCAACAGTGTAATGAAACACCGACAAATAATAGGCAACATTGCAAATAACTGCAGAATGATATATAAATGTTTGTTGGAGAATGACTGGTGTTGTATCAATGTTAATTTTAACACTTTAAATGTCAGCTGAAATGTTAAATAGGTCTACATTGTTAGTTATAATATTGCATTAGCAGATAAAGTGTATGTTAAAATATGTTATAATAAATGGTGACCACAACTGGACTTTGAATTATCTTTAACTTTTACACATTACGTTGAGTAACACTGGGACGGGAGAGGTCAGGTGTGGAGAGGTCAGGTGTGGTGAGGTCAGGTGTGGTGAGGTGTGGTGAGGTCAGTGTGGTGAGGTCTGGTGTGGTGAGGTCAGGTGTGGTGAGGTCAGGTGTGGTGAGGTCAGTGTGGTGAGGTCAGTGTGGTGAGGTCAGGTGTGGTGAGATCAGGTGTGGTGAGGTCAGTGTGGTGAGGTCAGGTGTGGTGAGGTCCGTGTGATGAGGTCAGTGTGGTGAGGTCAGTGTACTCACCTAGTTGTGCTTGCGGGGGTTGAGCTCTGGCCTATTGGTCCCGCCTCTCAAGCGTCAATCAACAGGTGTACAGGTTCCTGAGCCTACTGGGCTCTATCATATCTACACTTGAAACTGTATTTGGAGTCAGCCTCCACCACATTACTTTCTAATGCATTCCATTTGTTAACCACTCTGACACTAAAAAAGTTCTTTCTAATATCTCTGTGGCTCATTTGGGCACTCAATTTCTACCTGTGTCCCCTAGTGCATGTTCCCCTTGTGTTAAATAGCCTGTCTTTATCAACCCTGTCGATTCCCTTGAGAATCTTGAATGTGGTGATCATGTTCCCCCTAACTCTTCTGTCTTCCAAGGAAGTGAGGTTTAATTCCCGTAGTCTCTCCTCGTATCTCATACCTCTCAGCTCGGGTACTAGTCTGGAGTAGTGAAATATACGCCTACGACCGCGCGCACCATCTGGCAGATGGGCCTACTAGGCCCAGGTGTGACAGCTGGTTGAGGTATGTAGGCCTTCCAGTATGTGGGGTGCTTTTTTCCCGGAAGTTGGCGCGTGTCGGACGCGTGTGAGCGTCCGGTGTTGAGTTATGCGGTCAGGGATGATGGGGGGTCATGTTGTTGGGGGGTAGGAGAGTATGTAGGAAGGAATCGGAGAATATGAGGATAATAGTAAATGAATATGTATGTGTGTTTGCCGTAGACTTAATCCTGTGTGTAGATAATAGTTTTGATTAAAAGATGATAGTAAGTAAAGCTATGTAGAGGCTGTGTGTAGGTGTGAGGGGTCCCAACATAGGCGGATATGTTGTTTCAGGTGGGGGAGGGGTGAGGGGAGCTTCCCCTCGGCGTGAGAGTGCTTAGGGGTCATTTGTGGTTTTTGACATCCATTATTTTCTTCGAGCTATGCACACAGCCGGAAGTGAGAGGAGGAGGGTAGGAGAGAGCAGAGTCCAGGAGGAGATGAGAGCTGCAGCAGGAGGGATGTGGTCCATTAGCCTTAATCGTTTTTTCAAGTCTATTTTCTTCGAGTTATGCAGCTGTGTTTGGTGATGATCCATGAGGGTAATACTTCGGCCATACATGGCAGGAAGTGTGGAGGAGGAGGAGGAGGAGGGTGAGAAAGAGAGAGCAGACACTCTTAAGTTGTGAATGAGATGAGGCAACAGTTGGTGGAGAAGGTCTGTTTTATGTAACAATGCATGGGAGTGTATAGGTGACAGACCTGGACGGATGTGGACCATTACCCACTTACCCTTAAGCGTTTTTCAAAGTCCGCAGAGGGGTGTGTGTGTGTGCACTGCCCACTGATCAGAGGGTAACTGAAGAGCATTTCCAAGTAGTTGGTGTGGTCATATCTTCCATGTACCATCCCTCTCTCACTGGGGGAGTGACGGTAATGGGGTGTACCAGCTCTCTCTCTCTCTCTCTCTCTCTCTCTCTCTCTCTCTCTCTCTCTCTCTCTCTCTCTCTCTCTCTCTCTCTCTCTCTCTCTCTCTCTCTCTACATTATATGTGGGGTTACACAGTGTGTCAAGAACTACCTACGTGATGCTAAACAATCCAATCACACAAGCCGTCATATGGGCAGTAAAGGCTTGCAGAGACGCATAAAGGAGTCCAGGACTGAACCCCACAATTCATTTTTAGCTAAGCAAGTTACAGTCATGACGAGCTAGTTACAAAATTCAATATAAGTCAACACATTGTCACAGGAAACGCGATCTCTACCTACAAATTGTTCTTGTTAACTGTGATCACAACATCTGCTGCCCAAATAAATATCATTGAAATGTATGAGTGTCTACTCAATCTCCATCACCTCTTCTTCCTACACCAATTACTGCTGTGCAGACCTTGTAACACACAACGGCGTTATCATAGCAAGACATTGTCACAGAATGTTCAAGACTCCTGAATGAGTGAAACATCAATCCGTCTCGTTAGGGTCTAACCTTCATGGTGGTTTGAGGCGTAGTGAGATGGACGAGGTACTGGGATGACCTTACCCTCTCCCCATCCACCCCCACCAAACCCCTACCCCCTCCTACCCCCCTTCCAAGCCCAAACCATCAAGCATCACTTCACCCTTCACAGACCGGATGTTCTGTGCAAAGCCTTTAGTATTATTTCTGATCATATGTGTAACCTTGTATCGCAACGTGACCAACATGGTATCATCATTCTTTGCTCAAATAGCATTTTTTAAGAATATCGAGAGTCATAAGGTGGTCTTCAATTTTATTATTATAACAAATCATAATTTTTTGTAAACACAACTGCAAGGGATACACATAGCATTCAGTCAGTGGTTACTCTCTCTCTCTCTCTATGCAGATCATTTAATAGTTAGGGGGAAAAGTAACATCAATTCCTTTCTCCTGCTGTCGCTGTTCACATATCTTTTTTCATTTCACTTAGACTGACAGCTCAGCAGAGGAAGGAAGACTAATGTCAATTTTCGAGCCCCCATCACTCTCACCCTTATAACCTTGCAACGTAACATGACCAACATGATGACATCGTTCTTTGCCCAAATATCATTTTATGAGTAACGAGCAACTTTCTGTCCGATGTCTGAATATTGAAATGTGAACCGTGTTTAGCCCTTACATTCCAAACACAATAAAATATTAGCACAAGCTTGTTTAGTTCTTGTATCACATAACGTAACGTAACGTTTACTCAACAACTAGTAGACATAACATAATGTAGCTTCATATTCACTGTGGTAAAACAAACAAACAAACATACATACACATCGCGGTCAGTCCTCGCTATACCTCAAACACGCCGTTCATTCTCTCTCCCTTAGGTGAGCAATGTTCCCCACATACAAATTCCAAGCAAAGTAAACATATATAATAATAATAATAATAATAATAATAATAATAATAATAATAATAATAATAATAATAATAATAATAATAATAATAATTTTATTTAGGTAAGGTACATACATAAAGAGATTTTACAAAGTTTGTTGGCTTTATAGATAGAGCTAGTACATACAATGCCTAAAGCCACTATTACGCAAAGCGTTTCGGGCAGGAAAAACATTAATGACTAAAGCTTAAAACTAATGGGTAAAAAGAATAAGATGTGTTGAGTACAAATAAAAATAGAGGTAAAAGAGGGGGGAACATTGTTGAAAAAGCAGCACAAATACAATTACAAATTATTACAGAAAATTACATTCAAACAGCGTTGATTTGAAAAAACAAAAAAAAAACAAAAAACATACATGGTTTGACAACAGAGGGGTAAGGTGAGTTACAGGGAATTTATTAGGTATAGCTTCGTTTTTAACTTAAACTGGTTGAGAGAGGTACAGTCTTTAACATGGTTGGGAAGGTCATTCCACATTCTGGGCCCCTTGATTTGTAGAGCATTTCTGGTTTGATTAAGTCGTACTCTAGGAATATCAAAACTGTATTTATTTCTGGTGTGGTGCTCATGGGTTCTGTTACAACCTTCTATGAAGCTTTTGAGATCAGGATTGGCATTATAGTTTAGCGTTTTATATATGTATAATACACATGAGAGAATGTGCAGTGACTTAATGTCTAACATATTTAGAGATTTGAGTAGGGGTACCGAGTGATGTCTGGGGCCAGAACTGGATATTGTCCTAATAGCAGCTTTGTGTTGAGTAATTAGAGGACGTAAGTGATTTTGGGTAGTAGAGCCCCAAGCACAAATACCATAGTTGAGATATGGATAGATAAGGGAGTAATAGAGAGTCACCAGGGCAGGGCGTGGTACATAATATCTGATCTTAGAAAGAATGCCCACAGTTTTTGAAACTTTTTTTGATATGTTTAGAATGTGTCCCTGGAAATTCAGCTTGTGGTCAATGAGAATGCCAAGGAATTTGCCATCGACAATGACAATGACAAATAAGACAATGTGGAAAAACATAGTCTTGATACTATTATTAAATTGACTTGTTCATTATCCCCGAGTTCAAGGCTGTCTCTAAGAAAGACTAAGACATTATCCAAATGTAAACAGCAATCGATGAGAATAAGACCGGATGAGTTGATAGTGAAATAGCTCTGGGTTATGTCTATTTTCAGTTCTTGTAACACAGTCAATGTAGCGTAATGGGAGATAACAGACTTTCTACTGCCTAAATAAATAGCATTTGAAAATGTATGCGTGTCTACTCAATCTCCATCCCCCTCTTCATCCAACACCAAATATTGCCGTGCAGACCTTGTGACACACATCAGCATTAGCGCTCATTTCTTGTAACACACAGTCAATGCAGCGTAATGCGGAAAATAAACTTTCTGATGCCTACATAAATAGCATTTGAAAATGTATGCAAGTCTAGACAATCTCCTATAGCCCTTACATTCTAAACACAAATAAAATATTAGCACATGCTTGTATCGCATTATATCATCATTAAGCAACGTGGAAAACTTCTTTCTGTTTGATGATCAAATAGCATTTTTTAATAAATAACCTCAGCTTGGTCTTATGCCATTAAGACTATATTACACTGTGCGCAACAGTAGACTTGTAATATAATAGCAAGACATTGTCGCAGAATGTTCAACGTTCAATACTGAAGATGTGAGCGAGACACTTAGTAACGTAACGTGGAAATCAACTTTCTGGCTGTTGTCCGCATATCATTATTGAAATGTGAACCCCATTTAGCCAAACACAATATCTCCATTACATC